TCACTTTGAAACCCTCTTTCTCCCCCCCCCCCCCCCCTCCTCTCGACATTTTGTCACTATGATGTTCCTGGGGTGTGCGATAGACTTACCTCCACGTGGTGCACCCTGGGCAACGTATACTCATACGGCAAAAAAGTCTATTAACTGGCAGCTGACTTCTGAATTCAAACTACCCTCACCCCATTGTATGTCATATTCGACAACTTCCACAGTACTCACCTCACCTTTTTCCACTTTTGTGTCTGTCTCTTTTACATCTTTGGAACTCTCTTCTGTTCCTCCTCCCCCCTCTCGACTTGTTTCACCTTGATGTTCCTTCTCCTCTGTGAAGCCTGCAGTCAGCTAAAGGGCTAATGATAACTTCACAACGCCTGCCATTCGATATAAATAAATAAATGTTCCTCCTCCTCCCCCCTATGAAGCCGTGACCGAGTGTATCGGCTAACTGAGTATAAGTAGCCACTTTTTGATACATAAAGGAGTGTGATTTGAATCTAAATCTTCTCTTTTCTCTTGTCTTTGAGTCTAAGTAGGCGTGGGCTCAATTAGGGAGCAACTGGGAAATTTCAAAACAGACGCCACGAGATTTCACTCATGGCCCAGGAGTTTTAGTAAACAAACAGCGTGTGATTAATGAGGAATGGCACATTCAACTCCACACGACGAGAATTTGAATTTACGGGATTTAGGATTAACGACAATGAGGGCGGATTTATGCTTGATTAATAGACGGTTTAATGTAATCTAATTCGAATCGCACACTTTACTTTGATTATGATTTATTTCTCATCTTTTAACCTATATATATATATATATATGTCAAAATATCCATGTTATCATAACTCTGCTACCCACAATTACACTTGCGCTAACTACTCTCAAGATCAACGACGGCTCGGTGTCAAATCCTGCTTTGAAACTAAGTTTTAATAGGTCTTGGGCAGTCTCACCAGCAATGTGTTCGTAAGTATTAAGTGAAAATCAAATTCACTCTTCCCTCCTCCTACTCCCTCAAGCGCTGGTTGGCGTCAAAGGCGAGTAAAATAAAGAGGGAGAATTTTCAACAAACACCTTTTCTAAACCTTGAGAGGCATTATAATATATATGCATGGAAAGGAAAGTTTGTCAATGAATTTTATTAAAAAATGACAAACCCAGGTAGGCGCGAGGAGATAGTCTACAATAAAAATAAGTTCGTTTAAACTGGTGGCATTTAATTGAGACTTAATCAACTAGGCCAAATAAATGAAAGGCAAGAATTGAAAGCCTTTTGCCTATTGAAAGACAAAGAATACTTCACAGCGGGGCAAAATGAATTGCAGAAATAAGCCTACATTGCAAACCAACTTCAGTAACATTATTTTAAAATAATTCTTGTTTATTATTTTTATTAAGTAGCAGTTCCTTGAAAAGGTTAGTTCCCCTTTTTTAACGTGTGTTCATACAACAATACATACAGCAAATACTAAGGATTCTTAAATCCCCATTGGCTAATCATGCAAATTCCTGATAACCAATCAGGTGCAAGAATAGGACCACAAATAAGTGCACTCTTTATTTACTAACAGAACTTACGTATTTTGGTGCGAAAATGAATCATCGTACACGGAAGTACACGTCGAAATAACTTCTATCTCTGAACTGGTCGTAGTTCCACCAGATTCATCATCAACCCGTGATTTCAACAAACTGGAAGCAACTTCCTTGGGAAGACTTTCCAACGAGCATTCGACTCCTCCCTTAATGCTTTCTTCCATTGTTTTCTCAATTTCTTTTGAAGTGGCATCATCTTCTTCTTCACTTAAATGCGATTTTGAATGAGGGGGAATATCTGCAGTGAGAGTTTCAGAAGTGCTCAACTTCATGGAACTACAGGTATTTCCTTGATCTGTGGTTGTGGTGCTTGATGACAGTGCACTTTGTGGTTTTTCCTATACAACAAATGAGAGAATAATGGAAATTCACAAGCCGATGAATAGAGATATTGGCACACCTTCCAACTCAACTTCTAACTGATAAACGTTGAAACAAAACTCCTATTCCAGTCTTAACCACACCCACTGATCCATTAAAGCATGTCCTAATGTGATTTGATTTGGTAAAAATTATCGTGAATCACTCTGAATGGGAACTCACACCCTATCGCCATTCCTACTCAATTGAATTAATCTAAGCCAACCACGTTAGGGACGGGTATAGGTAAGGCTACTTCAAACTTGACAGGTGGTCACGTTGATCGATCTTAACATCGGATGGGTACATTTACTTGGAAGAAGAAAATTGAGAACCTTCGCCTAAATTCTATCCTCTTTGCGACTCCGAGCACAGAGAGAACACAAATTCAATTTCGATATGGAGCCTTCAATCAATTTAGGCGAACACGAGGCACACAGGCACACTCAATTTGAGCAATCAAATTATATTAAGGGAGCAGAATAGGCACGCAACTACCGTTAAGCTGTGAATAGATATTTTTGGAAAATGCTAATGAAATTAAATTTTTACATTAAAGATACTCTACTCGCATGATTAGACGCACAAAATTATGTAAAAGTAATATTAATTTGGCCAGTATACTGTAAAGTGACCTTGGTAGGAAATAAGGTCACTACTACTGAAAGGTGATAGGTCATGTGCCCTATCAGGTGAATTTTATGAAGTACATTCCATGCACTTCATAGAGTCGACATTAGCCAAATGGGAAAAATGCAAACTGAGCGGGTTTCATGGGCGCAAATAATTGGCATTTTTAAGCCAATTATATATGTATCTTTCATTCTCAAGCCCACAACTTGACAAAGAAAAACTAAATATATATTGTTTAGTCTTCGAATTATAATTTAAGCAAATAACCAAATTGTTGACCTTCAAAATTGTTTAACGAAAAAAGTCAATTTGGGAAAGATTATCATCACTATACTCTAAAAAACAAGGCCTTTTCTGAACTCGTACATCTCAAAATAGGTCATTAATACCAAAGGTGATGCAATAGGAAATGGCAGCTTTTATAAAGAGATATTTGACTCCCAGACATGGGGAAAGGAAAAAACCTATGATATTTCTTTTCTTATAGACGAATTAATCCATATTATTTAGTAACAGAAAAATTAATTTTATTGTTAAGACGCGCATATACAAAGTAAATGGGAATCGACTCTCCCCATACATTAACAAGGCGTGGAGAAACACATGAACTCCGCTTGTCGTTCTTACAACAAAGAATTCGCCATCATTGTGCCAAATATTTACCTCGGGGGTAAGAAGTGGATAGTTTACGACACAGTTAGTGGGCTCCAAATAAGGCCAGACTGTAGCAAAATATGATAAGATTTGCCAACAATTATGAGGGCAAAAACAGAAACTACACGACAATCAACAGCTCCAATCCCACAAAGCTAGGATGACCACATCGACCACATTTGCCGGACATCCCCAAATCCCACCATCTACTTCCAAATCTCAGGGAGAAAAATTATTGGAAATGAGTTCGTGAAAAACCGCTTACACGAATGTTTTAGTCAAAACAGAAGCTTGTCTTTTTGAAAAGGAAATCGAAGAACTACATGAACAGTGGGAAAGAATAGTGAATGGTGGTCGAAAAGATGTCATAAATAAGTCAAAATACAGAAAAAAACATGCCAATCTTACATATAAAAGGTTAAATTTCTAACTTACGCAACTAGCGATTAGAGGATTTTAAGGTATGTGAAGAGGTACGGGTTTCTAATTGACAACTTTCACCACATCCCAATAAGGGGAATGGTTTAGCTAAACTCTGCAGAACCAGTTGCTCACTAAGGCGAATAAAACTACACAAAAAATGCTGTTTCGGGGAAAATTATATACCAAGGAACACGAGAATATGTTAAGAGTAACTTGCTAAATAGGACCAAATTAGTATAGCCTAATATTTAGTGTCAAATTACTTTTAACTAGATACAGAACAGACTTGGTTGGTATTTATTAAAAATATATGAAAGTGTTTCCAATTCAGCAAAGAATAGCTCCTGAGCCATAAGTACTGATGCACCAAGCAAAAATGATTAATTACATTTACAAATTAATGAGCTGTGAGCAACTAGCATCCAAAAATCTATAAGTCAGTTATTGATTTTTGAAATTTGGAACGTAAGGGAATAGGATTGATCACTTTTTTGTCAATCCACTCCTAACTAACAATGATAAAATAAAAAAATTCATTCACCTCTTCATGGACAGCAGCTTCTAGAGACACATCGAGGCATTCCGACTCAGACATCAATCCGGAGGAGAAAGAAGATGAATCTGGACGATCGCATTTTGGAGTCGGCGTATCTAGGGAGGTAGTTAACTTAGGAAATATTTTGGCAGATTCAACTGAATTAAAAGCATTTCCATCAAAGTCGAAATAGACGTGGGAATTAGACGATACTGAAAAATATAAAATTTCATAGTGAATCATAGAACAGGCTAATTAACAAGTCAAGCGTAAAATAAAATTGAGAAATTGAACCGTGAATAAGAGTTCTAGAACTAAAATAGTCAGTTGAAAACAAATTTGTGTAAGATTTTGTAATATTTAACTAAATAAAAAAACTAAGACTCAAGAGGACTACAATAAAATTTAATGTGACAGACTATCGTCAAGAAGTTAATGTTAAAAATATAACAAATAGCTAAATTTATTTAACAAGCAGCCTACGTTGCGATGCGTCCTCCTCGATATCAAGAACTTTATCCAATTTGCGCTGGGCCTCTTTAAGAGCCGTGTGGGCCAACTTAGAAACATTACTCACAGATGACCACCAAGCCATTTCAAGTAAAGAGTAGGATGTGTTGTGACCATTTAGACCTACATGGGAAAATAACTATTTAGCCAAATAAACTAAAGGTCAGTTATAAGTGAGGAGTAAGCGAATAATTTTCGAGCGTGGTAAACGCCATTAACATGAATAAAGTGTATTGAAGATTATTATAAAAAATTACGCACAAAAGAGAGAAGCAAAACTATGTGAGAAGTTAATTAATGAACGACAAAGAAAAATAAAAAATAAATTAAAAATCATGTTGAAAATTAGCTTTTTATAGAATTGATAACCTCTAGTAATATAATTTAAAATGTTCCAATTTTCAGAAAACTTCTTTATAGGAACATATTTTATAAATAAATAAATATTCTGTTTTAGACATAAATTTAAGTGCCGAAATTTTTCAAAAGTACATTGTTTAAGTAAATTTTTTTATTGCGCTGCATACAAAGATAATCCATTTCAAGCCAATTTTTGTTTTGTGCACTATGTCAGAGAGTGTTCCCAAGAGCCGTGCCAAAGAACTTCGGTAATCATATTTATATATACTTTATACATTCAGTCAAGAGACTGTGCTATGTCGAATTAAATATCATAACAATTTGCCGGAACTACCTTTCGACCCGAAGTTCTTGACATATCCGTTTGATTCTTCTCGATTTGTCCAGTATGCACCAACATCTCTTGAACGTAATCACAAACACGAATTACTTTGCGAAACAAGCGTCGGTGTCAGTGTTGATCTTATTGATCCGGATGCTTTCAAAATCTCACGCAATTGTAACTCTTCATTTTGTTTTGCATATTTCTTTAGTTAACTTGCATCCTGATGATGAAAAACTTGTAAATGAAACTGAAACAAACGAATTAAATGAGAGAAAGTATGAGATATTGTTAACTTTATGCTTTCTAGATCTCGACATCGTCGTTCTGTTGCCTGGTTGCGTAAAACTGAATACCTTTCTACCGAACACTACAATAAATTTAATAAATCGGTGAAAATTGAGACCAAGCTTGGTCATAATATTAAACAGCGCTTTGCTGAAGAAATTGTCTATCGTGATAAAGATAGCCAGGTTAAGGCTATTGAAAAGACCTTCGCGGCTGCCAAGAAGCCCATTATTAACCATTATAGTAAAAAAGATGTTAAGGCTGTTGAAGTTTTGCCTATTCTTCCTGATTTTACGTTGTGGAAGTATCCTTGTGCTCAGGTCATTTTTGATGACGATCCTTCTCGGTCTTCAAATCACCCTGAGGATGTTACACAAGCAGTTATTCGGTATGTCTTTTCGTGAAATGCACAAGAATTTGTATAATTCATTGATGTGATTGTGAAGGAAAGGCCAGAAATTTTTATGCCTTTTTTATTTTGTTGTTTTTTGAAGTTATATAAGCACTTCGTTTTCTCTGAATTGTTCTGTCCGAATCTCATTGGTAGCTAAATTACTTTTTTCGATGCTTGAGAAGCTCTCAACTCAAATGTCCTCTCATAAATTGAGTTAATAGAGGGGGGGGGGGGGGGAGATTAAACCACTTAGGAAGCCTCCACCTTATCGGTCTGATTAAATATCTAGTTATACTTTATTAAGATTCTGCAATTGCTTTATATATGAAAAAAAAAGAATTTTGCTGTTATTAAACCCTTCTCTTAAAGTTTGCCTAGATTTTAAACTAGCTACTTTGATCCCGAAATCTGAGACGTAGTAACTGTTCAAATTTGTTATTAAAGAAGTCATGTCTAACGTTGACGACTGTCGTCGTCGCTCTCATATATGATTATTTCATGAATCATTCGGTGAAATTCCTTCTGCCATGCTCGACGTCTGGCATCAATTTGTAAAATACTTAAATTATCATACCTTTCTTCAACAGTCTCCTCATAGTTATCAGCCTTTATTTAGAAAAGGTTTCGGAGTCACCGCGTTGTTTGGTTTTCTTACATTCTCTTTCACTTATCATCATTCAGAGGTATGGTGGACAATATGGGTGACCACTTTGTTGTGTATTTCCTACCGACTGAGGAAACGAAGGAGCAACGTCGACGTGATGCTGAAAACCATATCGCCTACTCGGAGGACGTCACTTACGAGTATGAGAAAGCGAGGGAGTACAATTGGAACGTTAAGAACAAGACTATGGCCAATTATGAAGAGAGCTACTTCTTTGTCTTTCGTGAGGCCACTGAGGGTGAGTGAGAAGTTGGCACTTTGGTAGATGCATTGCATTTACGATCATACTTTGCTGGAGAATAGCAGTCACCTTCTTAATGGAAGTAAAGTGCCATTTGGCCAAGTGGGTTGATGGTGTTGTATGTAACCCTTTTGGAAGGAAGATAGAATTTAAATCTAAGAATCCTGAAGCTCCAATTGTCTTGGTTACCTCCTTGCTTGAGAAGCTTATTGCAGCCAATGACCAGTGCTTTCAAGTTCTTCAGGAATACCATATCTCCAAGGCACTATTTAGGTTCTTTGTTTAAGACAGCACGTAAGGAATATTATATAAATAATAAAAAGTGAAGTTTGAAGATTTCATCGTAACAACGTCACTTGTTCAATTCTGATCTAACTGTTCGTGCTATTTGTGAGAGTAGAAAAACTTCTCAATGTCTAAAATTAAGCGCATGTGTTCATGTTAGATTTCTTAAGCTTAAATGATTGGTGATTTGTCATTACCATCTCCATAGTTAAAGAACTGTTGGATGTTGTTTAAATCAAATGGCTTGGCTGTTAATAAACTTGCCTGTAACGTCAACACTCACCAGTTCGATCCCACATGGCTTGTTAAAATAGCTTCAAATTTCGATTTTCTCTTGTAATCCACAATCAACATTACATTCACACTTAATCTTTGCGTTAATAGAATATCCTGCCGGCGTGTACTACAACGAACTTGAGACCCGTGTTCGATTGAGCAAGCGTCGAAAGTTGCAATCCACATTCAGTGGTCCACAGCCCGCAGGCAAAGTCCGACTTGTGGTGAAACACCGTGAAGCTAATTACTACGAGTCTCAAGCCCAAATGGAGCGATTGGAAATGCTCAAACAGGAATCTGAGTTAGACGAACCTGAAGATGAGGGAGCAGCAGGTTCTGGTGGAGGTAAAAGTGAGAAGTCTGACCAAGAACACGAATCAGGCAGTGGTAATGAAGATATACATGAGAGTAGTTCCCTGGCGAATTCTCACGAATCTTCACCTTCTCGTAAGTTTGTCTCCATTTCAATAAATTCGTTGCAATGTTGTAGAACTTTTGGTTGGATCCTAATTCCGTTCCGTTGCTCTTTTAGCTAGTACTTCAAGACGTCATTCCAGTGGTCGTCAACAATCGGAAAGTGAACAGGATGTTGGACACGACCATAGCAGTCTATCAGAAGACGAAGAGTCAGAGAAATCACCTCCCCAATCCCGTCGACAGTTGACGACCCCTTCAGCGCCATCTAAACATCACTCAATGACTAATGTATTTTCTTCCTCCTCTGATGATGAAGACATGCTTGATCACCATCGTCATCATCGCCAGACAGATCCTCGTCGTAACCCAACGACCGTGGCAGCGCCTGCTCAACGTCAATCTCAACGCAGACAAACACCGGAATCTTCCGATCTCTCAAACGACAGCTCTCCCGAACCAAATCGATATGCCTCGGATAGAAATACTCGCAAAAGACCGTCTACTCAAGAGCGTAATTACTCGTTAACTGTTAATGCTTTATTTTTTTAAGATTCTAATCCTGCACAGATTCTTCCCATTCGATATTTCTAGCTTACTGTTGACCCTCAAGAAAGATTCTAGACACTGCTAGCATGAGCAGTAGTGATAATAGTCGAACATGCGTTTAAATGGCTCATACTTGCAATAAATTTGTTTGAATTTGATGTTGTTTACTCGATTACTGTTATTCTTCCTTTTTAGTCGAAAACAGTGAAATCGAAAGTGGAAGTGATCATTCACTATCCCCTCCACCTCGGAGTAGGCGACGTCAGGATACGATTAGGGCTTCTGCTCCCAGAAGAACGGACTTGAGTGAGAGCGATTTAAGCAGCCTTTCCGATTAAAAATTGGCCGAATTGCCCCCTCCCCTTATTTCTTCTCTGTAAATATATGCAATTCTATCCGTGTGTGTGTGTTAAATAAATGAAATCCACTTTCAACCGTCATTGTTCAAATTTCGCATTTCCACCTAAGGATTAATAGTTGTAATGCCCGAAACAGTTGTCTTTATTAATCCAATCCTAAATCACCAATCGCTGTTATAAGATCCCTAGTGACCTATCAAGAGAGCACCATGGCACCTGACAAATCATTAAGGCTTAATTTTTAGACAATTCCGTCGCTTGTATCGGTGGGAATCCTTCATCGTCCGGTTAAGACTAGTAAGTTGCGGGTTTTTCCGCAAATTCCATTGTTGCGGCGTCAACAATGCTCTTAGACTCAAGCTGCTAGCGGTAAAATCTGAGTTGATTACACATCCAGTCACTTCATACTGCGGAGGAAAATTTGAAATTGGAACGCATGCAAGCACACAAACTGACTATTTAGAAAGTGAACGAGGTAGATACTGTTCTCTCTTGTTAAGGCATGAAATATATTTCATCTTCTAGGGTGTGCGATAGACTTACCTCCACGTGGTGCAACCTAGGCAACGTATACTCATACGGCAAAAAAATCTATTAACTGGCAGTTGGCTTCTCACTTCAAACTATCATCACCTCACTCTATGCCATATTCGACTATATTCACAGTACTCACCTCACCTTTGTTCTACCTTTGTGTTTGTCTCTAACATCTTTGAAACATTCTTCTGTTCCCCCCTCTCGACTTTTTTTAACTTGATGTTCTTTCCCCTCTGTGAAGCCTGAAGTCAACTAAAAGGCTAATGATAACCATCAAGACGCCTGCCATTAGATATAAATAAATATTTCATCTTCTAAATAAGTCTTCAAAAGAGATACAATCTTAAGATCTCTATAAAACACGTAAATGGCTTAAATCCGAAATAATCCAAGTTTATCGACCTTGCAGTTTAGCGCATTTAAAAGGGTAAATAACTTTTATGAATTATAGCAACTAAATATCAACTAAAATATTCTTAAGCAAAAATAAAAAAATTATCCCGAACGTGCTGCACAAAAGTGGTTCCTTACGTTAGAACGTTGAAATCACCTCGAACCAGAAGCGTCAGGTTCATCAGATCGGTATGATATTTTTACTAGGTCTCGGGAGTTCCAGAATCGCAAAGTGGTGGGCGGTCGTATGTATCGAAATTTATCTCTCTTGAATTCGTTTCAGCCTGGGAAATACGACTGTGCTTTGAGTACGAAGATGTATGTTATGGTGCACCCATATTTGGACAACGTCCAGCGTCGTAACACAAACAACTTAAAAAACCTCTTTCAATGCCTTCACTCCTCTTGTCATGAAAAGTGGCCATTTCACGTTCTTAGCGTGTTGTTGGAGAGTGTGAAGGGGAAATATTTATAGACCGCAACAAAGTCTTCAAATTTGATAGAAGAGAAAAGCGTAATGTTTCTGAGCTCAATGTCCTTTACTGCACTTTCATTGGCTGATGATAATGCTACTGGTTGCAATAGTCTTCACGCAAGTATTCTCAAACAACCTGGGTCAGCACAAGATAAGAATTTCTTCGAAAGGAGCCCGCATGGCTCAAATCAATGTTAGACCAAAGTTTGAGGGCACGTAAGGGTTGCCTTGGATAGGAGTGAAGGTATTCGTTTGGTTAAGTTCCCCTCCATTTTGTGAGACCATGTTTGATCCAGTACTATTTGTTGCTTGAGTCTTCCATTTATCAGTAAAGTCTTCTTTATATCTCTTCAGGGGACATGTTTATTTTGTCCGAAAATCAAGCAGACAGGTTGTCAGAATTCTTTTTTTACCTAAGCTTTAACGGCAAGTTGTGCTGGAATGAATTCATGAATGGAAAACTTCAAGAAGAGCAAAAAATTTCTAACCCTTATGCCATCTACGCCTAATGGATGCAACTTCACGTTTGTCTCAATAGTAGTTCCAGTAGGAAGCGGCAGAGCAGATCATTATTTCAAATGGCAGGCTTAATGATATTTATCATTAGCTCTTAAACTATGACTTCATCTTTCCCCTTGGGTGGTGGTTACATATATAGCAGTCCATTAGCTATCTTCTTGCTTTCCAGTATCTCTGGATTTCCGTACTTGTCTTTAGGGCTGGACACTGAATCATGTGGGTCTTCTCCACTTCCACCTGTAGGTTACATAGGGGGCATGTGGGTTGAGTGTATACACCATTTCCTCCTGTAGGTTACATAGAGGGGATGTGGGTTGAGTGTATACTCTTAGGTTACATAGAGGGCATGTGGGTTGAGTGTATACTCCCAGGTTACATAGGGGGCATGTGGGTTGAGTGTATACTCCCAATCTGTAAAGGTGTTTTGCCAGGCAATCTTGTCTGGTACGTAGGCTAAACTCTGCAACAGCTTCGATTTTTGGCCAGTCGGGTATGTCGGAGAGTGCCACTGTCCACTGTTTCTCCTTTGTTCGAGCTTTAATTTCGTTGCACCTTGAGGTCTTGAATTCTCTCATGATTAAGGCCTTTAATGTGCGGAAAGACATCAGCCGGTCTATGCCTTGCAAAATTGTTGCCCTCTTCTTAGCAAGTGTGTCAGCAAGCTCATTTGCCTTTAATGCCACAGTGACCAGGAATCTATTGTAGGACCAATAACCACTGTTTTGTTTTTCTCTCTCAGCAGCTCATAGAGTTTTCACCTTCCTTTATCTCAGCTGTTTTGGGTGTCTCTCTGTTTCCAATTCCTTTGTATTATCTCAGCTGTTTTGGGTGTCTCTCTGTTTCCAATTGAATTTATTGCTGACTGTAAGTCCGATAGGATTACTGCTTTTTTGAATTTCGTATCCAGGCAACATGATTGGCGTAGTGCTATAATAATGGCCTCTATTTCTCCTTCGAATGTGGATCTATTGTGTCCCCCAGCAGCAGGTCAGATAATTATACATTTGTGACTAAGAATCGTGAAATCCACTATTTGATGAGGAGCATAAGTATTCATGCTTTTGACATTGCTAGTTCGTTGTGGTTGGTGAATAATGTAAACTAGACCAATCAAGTTCCCATCGAAAAATAGCACCCATTTCCATTACTCAATATCTCCAAAAATTCAGTTGCCTTAAAGTCTGTTCTCACTCCGAGGTCAGGCTAATTTTATGAACAAGTTTCAAATAAATGCAGTTCGGATTTACCAAGTTGATAGTCATCCATTTTCATTCAGCAGAGGTGTTTCCCAAGCAGTTTAGGAGAACTGTTTTAGAGCATTCATCTTTGACAAGTGGGCAGTTATTACCCATTAGCTTTGCATAGACACACATGCCCTCTATGTAACCTACAGAAGGAAATGGAGAAGACCCACCTGATTCGATGTCCAGCTCTAAAGACAAGGACGGAAAGCCAGAGATACTGGAAAGCAAGAAGACGGCTAATGAACTGCTATTAGTTAACTGCTATAAATGTAACCCCCCCCCCCCTCCCAACCTTGAGGGAAGCTGAAGTCAACGTTTAAGGGGTAATGAGAAATATCACAAAGCCTGTCATTTGAAATAATAATAATAATAGATCATTAGTATGCTTTATCCAAGTGTGCGCTTGACAATTCAAACTCTTATCTCAGCCAATCGAAATTTGCCAACTACAATTCAAGTGATTAATAGTAAACATGCATCAAAAGTGACAAAAGTACTTTCACATAACCTGTATTCAATTTAAGCGCATTTTTTATTAACGAGAATTAACAGTAAGTAAACTCCTTCCCTTCATTTGTCTCCTCCACCTCCTCCTCCTCCTCTTTTTTTAATTATTATTTTTTCTTAAATAAAAGACCTTACAGAATGCCAAAAAGTGAAAAATTTCCCCCGGTTAACATTCCCGAGAGGATTTACATTAATGCCACAATGTTCTACTCCATCTACGCAAATGATCACAAATTGCTAAAAGAGTGCATTCAAAGAGGGGTGAGTCAACTTTTTTTACGAGTTTGAGTCTTGTATCTATCTACTATTTCCCGATTCTTACTGCTTTCCATGTCCGGTTTCATCAAGAGATGGCTCTAGCTTTCAAATCTCCATAGTGGAAAAGGACTGAATTTTCGAAGAAGTCTACTTCCTACAGATAGAATGATGACAAGGAGTTTAGAGAAAGTACCATCAATATAGCAAGCTTTATGATAGTTATCATTAGCCCTTTAGCTGACTTCGGGCTTCACAGAGAGGGGAAACAGACAAAGCCACAAAAAGTGGAAAGGGGGGGGGGCAAAAGAGTGATTCACAGATATTAAAGAGTCAGGTACAGAGAAAAGGTAAGGTGAGTAAAGTGAAAGTGGTAGAATATGACATGCAATAGGGTCATGTTAGTTAAAGTGAGAAGTCAACTGTAAGTTCATAAACTTTCTTTTGCCGTCTGATTATACGGCACCACGTGGAGGTGAATCTATCTAGCCCCCCCCCCAGATGAGCCACTCTAATACTTCCCCAAAGAGGGTAACATGCATGTAGTCTCCAAATCAGGGTGGAAACATTATTCAGCCTTTTTTCTTATCATTATTTGCTCCATTATGAAATAAACGTTGACTTTTCTTTCAGGCCGACGTCAACTTTATTGGCGCCAACCACGCACCGAGGGTTCAAGAGAACTTTCGTTTGGCTTTGGAATACGTCTTTTCTGTCAAACCCAGGACTGTTGGATGCGTATTTAATAGCCTACCCATGATGAGGTAGTAATTTATTTTTTTTTTATTCCAAATATGAGCGGATTTTTATGCATTAAAAAATGGTTTTTTGTGACATTGACATTAGAGGCAGGCCTTTTCATCAAAGTAAATTATTTGCTGTTTTTACGGAGGGGGGTGGGGTGGGTGAAAGTATGTTATGTCTTAAGAGTGGGGAGGGGGGGTTGCCCAACTCATTGACCGCCAAAATTCCTTGAAATCCATCATTTCAAGGTGGGATGGAGGTAGCGAATGCGGCTGGAGCCTAATCATCAAATAAAATTCCACTCC